GCAGGAATGGAAGTGCTCTGTGAAATAATGGCACAAACCCATTTGATTTCTGGAACTCAGAGGATGAAATCAAATTAATTTGTGGGCTGACTCTTGTTCTAATGCAGCTCCCAGTCGGGTTTCGGAGGGAGGGGGTTGGGAGTCAGACCCGTGATTCAACTCTGAAAATGGGTACACTTCTCCCAAAGACCTGAGCCACAGGATGAAAAGGCTCAACAAAAATTCACAACATCAGGAAGTAAGCCCACTGAGGCTTGATTCTAGAAAGCCTCTCTCACGAATAGTGCAGAAAGCAGAGACCAGACAGTGATGAGACTGATCCAATCTGTAAAAACTCTGAAAGAATGCTTTCCTTTAATTTGCTTGGGAACATGTGATTTATTTATAATTCAGCAAATGATGTGGAGACAGCCTTTCATTTTCAAATATGCACTGCTGGGGTTTCACGGCACATAAACATTTATGGCCGATGTAAAAGAAGATCACAGTGCCCGAGTCCCGAGTCCCGAAGCGCCGTTCAACACATGCCTGGAACAGCCCAATGGAGTAAACAGATCTCTGCATTCCTTGCATCCATTTTAATAACACACCAGTTATAAAACAGAGGCTAAGAAATGGGAGGGACAGGGCTTCCCTGGTGGCGCAGTGGTTGGGAGTCCGCCTGCCGATTCAGGGGACACGGGTTCATGCCCCGGTCCGGGAAGATCCCACATGCCGCGGAGCGGCTGGGCCCGTGAAGATCCCACGTGGCCGCTGAGCCTGCGTGTCCGGAGCCTGTGCTCCGCAACGGGGGAGGCCACAACAGTGAGAGGCCCGCGTACCGCAAAAAAAAAAAAGAAAAAAGAAAAAGAGAAGAAAAGAAAAGAAAAGAAAAGAAATGGGAGGGACAGGCCAAAATCCTGTAAAGTTGGAATTAGGCCCATTAAGTAGACTTTCTCTTCCCCCAGGTGCCCAGAAGGCCAAATGTCTCTCTTCCTTCAAACCTTTGCTCAAATCTCACCTTCTCAATAAGGCTCAACCAACCAGTCCTATTAACACTGCAGCCCAAGGGTCACTCAGCAACACAACCACGGATGTACGTTGATTCTCCTTTACACAACAGTTCCTTTTTTAAAAAAAATTCAGTAGCACTTTGACCTCTAACATTTATTAGGATTATTGATTATTGTCACTTTCTCCTGTGACAGTGTTAAGCTCCATGATGGCTGGACCCTGTAGGATGCTCAATAAATATTTGTTGACTGAACAAATATCTATTCAGAAAGGAGCGCAGGACCTCACTGTAATTTCCTCTTTCCACCTTCCTTTTCAATGACTGGTTCTTACTAACTAACACTAACACTCCCTTCCCTTCTCACTTGCTTGCCATTAGGCCAAATATTCAGATGATTGATATATGAATCGGTCTCTTCCACCAACATGATTCCAAAATAGTGAGGATTCCACCATTTCTAAGGTTTTTTTTAAAAAGGCAGACAAACAAGTGTGGTAGATTCATGCAGAAGCTTGAGAAAAAAACCCTACGTACTAACCATTAATTTTGATTTAGCAATTGTTTTGACCCTTCAAAGCACAACTTTCAATCCCAGAAGCCTGGAAGCGGCAGACTGTTTGTGATCACTCCGGCTTTTACAAGTTTCACTGTAATCATCGAAGCAGGAACGGAGCACACCAAGTCAGCTTTTCTAAATTATTTGCAGCCAATGTCCCTTTCAAAGCACAAAAGTGCTCCTGACCTAGCTAAATTCCTGCCATCTTGAATGTGCTTAATAAAAAGACACTTTTTTTTTTGGTGTCTACACTCACCTGTTGCCCAGTAACCAGAAAGATGGATCCTTCCTTTCCGTGAACCACTTGTCGGTAAATGTGGTCGAGAATTAAGAGCTCACTCCAGCAGTTCTGAAGCAGCTTCATTTGGTCATCAACCTGTAAAAGAAATAGAAAAAAATGACACTGTAACTCAGTATTTTTTTTTTTTGCATGATTTTTTACCTGAGAACCCACTATAAGCAAGGAAGGACCACCAAAGGTCACCGAAGCACAGATGCTCAGAATTTCCATCCTTCCTCCTGAAAATCATTCTATTCATTTGGACAAATACTTTTTAGGCCACATATAAATACTTAAACTAAATATTTATAATCAATGAGCTGCTAGGAAAAGGTACTCTATTAGATGGGTCTATCATTAGATCTATTAGCATTTGCTTGTGGGAGGTACAGGCGCCTCAGACTGTCCTCAGTGGACCACATTAGAATGACCCGAAATAGGGGTTCCCTGGTGGCGCAGTGGTTGAGAGTCCGCCTGCCGATGCAGGGGACGCGGGTTCGTGCCCCGGTCCGGGAGGATCCCACATGCTGCGGAGCGGCTGGGCCCGTGAGCCATGGCCGCTGTGCCTGCGCGTCCGGAGCCTGTGCTCCGCAACGGGAGAGGCCACAGCAGTGAGAGGCCCGCATACCGCAAAAAAAAAAAAAAAGGAATGACCCCAAATAGCCCAGGCTTGTGTAGAGGTTAATACATTGAGCCCAAGCTGAAATAGGATATGGATATTAGCAAGCCACCAAACTGTGAGGATTTATATGAGAGGCAATCAGCAGGACAGCCCAAATGACTTTTGAATTTAGAGGCACACGACTGTTGTTTGTTATCAGTGTTCACCCAAAGTCCAAGTTGTGCTAGACTTTGACTAGAACAATCACCAAGCTTGGTCTTGACGTCCACCTGCACTTGCTTTATGATTTGGACAATTTTCCCACAAATCCCCTACACTTCAGTTTCCACATCTGAAAAATGGGCCGAGCACAGTACCCACCTCACAGGATGGCAGTGGGAAGTAAAATGAGGAGGGCTGCATCACGGTGAGTATTTTATCCACATGGTGTCGCCCCCCAGGGGACCGCATTCTTTAACAACAGTAACATACCCATTTCAGGTACAGGTCACGTATCCACAGTCAAACGTGGAGGGCATATTGATCCATTTCCATGGCTATCTGTGACAGTTTCTTTTCATTTTGTAATACGTACCAGCCAAAGATCTTGGCGTGCCCAAATACATCACACATTTATACCAACAACACCTGATATTTAGATGTCGGGTAACAGTTTTGAAGAGTTTTGCATATTGTTTTAGATTTAATTCAGAGAACCTGCCTGTGGAGTTACCAGACCGGCATCATTTTCTTCAATTTACATTATGAGAAAATATGGTCTCAGAGACCTATTAACTGGTACACCTAGAGGATTCTCTTTCTCTCTCTCAGGCTCTAGGATGTCTCCAAATTACATGGAGAGGTGCCAGACTCACAGACATTAAGAAACAAACTTATGGTTACCAAAAGGGAACCGGAGAGTTGTGGGGATAAATTAGGAGTATGGGACTAACAAATATACACTAAATAAAATAGACAGGCAACAAGGATTTACTGTAATAACACAGGGAACAATCAATATTCAGTATCTTGTAATAACCTATAATGGAAAATAATCTGAAAAAATATATATATAACTGAATTACTTTGCTGTACACCTGAAACTAACACAATGTTGTAAATCAACTATACCCATATTTTTTAAAAAAAGGAAAAGAGGTGTTAGAATTCTCTAAACTGAATTAATTTAACTCACTTATAACAAATTCATCTTTAAGCAGATATTTAATGAGATCCTGGACGGTTGGGTGAGGATGGAATGAATAAAGTGTGAAACGACACACTAATGAAGAAACAATGCCAAACACAAGGCTCCCAGTTGGAAGACCATATTGATCCTGTTGAGAAGGAAAAAAAGTAACTGCAGAGATTGAAACTACAGTCAGGCTCTGTGATCAGGAAAAGACATCCCCAAACATCTCCGTCAGAAATGATTTGTTCTGACCAGAAGAATTTCACTCATTAAGTAAATAGATGTTCAGAGCCATTTAATGTTGAGTCTAAGTGCTGGGTCTGGGGTATAATGGTGAACAAGGCAGAAGCAGGCCCTACCTTGTGGAAATTACTCTCCTAGGGGAGAACGTTCACCAACACAGGTGAGCGGGCTGGTGACAGAGGGAGCTAGCTCATCCTTCTTTAGAGGAAAATCTCCAGTGTTGTGTGTACACGTCAGGCTGTGGCAGCAGCTGAAGGAGACCCACCTTGCTGCTCTCTGCACACAGCTCACACTAGAAGCTGCAGCCAAATGTCCGAACAACATTGGTGTCCTCACGCCCAGCAGTTTTCAGGGACCGTCCCTCTCAGATGCTCGGGGCAACTTCAGAACCAACTGCACTTGGTTCTACTGGGTTTACTACACTTCATTCCAGCTCATACCCTATCAGCGTCTTATTTCAAATTTATCAGTCCACGGTGGCAATTCAGTTCCCCTGCACATTTTCTTCTGTGATGTGAAGCTTTAGTTATTTATTTAGCACTCTTTCCAGGGAAGCTGAAAATACTACACTTTGAGATCGTTTCCCCAGAAACAGTTATCATACCCAAAGGTTGCCAAGAATTGGGGAATAACCTCGAAGCGTGGTTCAAGACGTCTGGACGGGATTCCAGCTTAAGAACCTATTTACACGGCAGGAAGATTTATGATTCCCATCTTGCAGGTGGAAAAATGAAAAAGCTAAGAGATGATCTTCTGGCCATGGAGAAGAGAAAAGGTGAGTGACCATTAAAAGCAGCATGTTTCCTGGAGCCACATCACATTGAGGGGCTTTTCCTCCTCATGTGCATCTGGTGGCCCCTATCCTTGGTATATAACACGAGAGGAATACTTATGGCAACAGTTTGCCAGCATCAAAGCCTGTTCAAGTTGTAAGATAAGAACCTCACTCTCCCTGGCCTTCTTTTCTTTTGTGATCAGGATACACTTCCAAATAAGGATATATTTGTGTGTCATGCTCAGAAAAAGAGTGCAGTGTATCATCTTCAGACCTTATTCCTAACTCTGTGTGTGTGTGTGTGGAGATGGACTGGCTTTGAAAATCTATTTCCTGGGTCCTCTGCTGCTTCAGAAGTTGCAGAAATAGATGAGATTGAGCCTGTCTATTTCCCATAACTAGCATTTCATTTTTGGTTTTGTATTTTGTGCCGTTCATGTCATCATTTCTTCTGTTTCCACCAAGTACTGTTAAGTGCTTGTTTATTTGTCTCACTCCATGAGGCCGGGGCAGCCTGGAAGCTGCAGCTCCAGGGGGGGCCCAGTGCAGCCCCAGCTTGTGAAATAAATGAAGGAACACGTGACTGACTGTGGTGCCGTCACTCCTGCAAGTGTCTGCTTTTGGCCGGTGTCTCCGGTACATGGACAACAAGAGCAAAAGTGACTCCTTCGGGGCTTGTGGAAGGAAGGGTCATCTTCACCCGGTGATGAACACACGGGTGACCCTCCCCACACAGGCCGGCAGGTCTGGACCCACCGCTGGCCCTCGGTAAAGACTTCTCAACTGATTGTAATTTTAACACCCCTCTTGGGCAATTGATTCCTTGTTTTAAGGCTCTCTGAGGAGGTTTTCCAGGCTGACATTCCATTTCAATATTTCCATAATTGATTATGTGATATTTTATGTTATCTTGAAATTGGAGAGTATGCAGCTTCATGGGGCTTTGGGTGACACAGTTTTTATGCAGCTCTATGAATGAAAGGACAAGGCAAATATGATGACCGACTTGTTCCTTATCTCCAGATAGGAGACGTTGGCAATTTTGAAGATAATTTCTCTTTAAGAAGGAGTGTTATAGGTGATATGGTGGAGGGGGTGGGGATAAGAGGAGAAAAATAATCTACTACTTTTGAGTAAATTTCCGGGTATGAATGCTGTCAACAAACAATTTCAGGTGGCATTTGGGGAGCCCAGACAGGGACTGAGGGAGTGTAATCTCCATGACATATCAAAACCTCTCACTAGTTGGTAATACCCCCTGGTACAATGCTGTGTTATCAGCTGTAATAAGAAGGGCTTATCTCAGAACCCTAGTCACTCATCAGAAAAGACTCACGCTGGTATTACAGATGAGCGTGTGAGGGAACACAGGCCTCATATTGTTGCGAACACACCTTCCCACAACCCAGGACGTTAATCATTAGAAACCTGTGCTTTCTCGTAAGAGGAGTGAATTCGGCAAACAATTAGAGGAAGAAAAATGTGTAGATCTTTCTCAAGCCCAGGCTGAACTTATCAGATCCTTTTTGTTGCCCCCTCAAATTTACCTTTGCACAGTCTGGCCATTGAACTGTTATTCCACTTTCCCTCTTACAGGGGCATTTATTTGAAAATCGACATCATGAATCATTGTGGTTAAGCTTTAAGAAAGATATGTTTAGGAAAACATTCAACTGACATGGGTTGGTAATTTAAAGTGGACACGAACCCATTTCTAATTTCGGATCATTAAATCTGGTGTGTGCCAGGCTTTGTGCTAGAAAGTTGGGGGAAAACAGAGGTGGCCAGGACACAGTCCCTGCCTTTAAGAAAGTCACACTCCAAGGAGAGGAGACAGAAGTGTACATCCATTATAACGCCATGTGCACTAGAAGCTGGGGGTCACTTTACCCTGCTTCGTTTCTTGGGGAGACTTCCAGGGGGTCACAGTAGCTTCTGAGAAGGGTATGTTTAAGCAGGTCTTGATGTTGTAGAACCACTTAATAAACTCTTTTTTTTTTCCTCAGTAGCTCCTGTTAAAACAATGCTTGGAACAAAGTATTTTAAAAAAACGTGAAGATTCTTCAGAACCATTACAAATAACATCCAGCTATTATTTCTGGACAAAAGAAAAAAAATCCTTGCAGGTGGACCTCCACTTCCTTATACTTTCTTTTGTGACAATGATGACATTTATAAAGGTATAGTCAGAAGCAGGGAGAGAAAAATCAAAACCCAAACAAATCAGCATCAACTTAGCAACTCCTAATGAGAACCTACTTTGGTCAAGACAGACACACAACTGC